TTTTGCCAACGCCAATTTCTTAAATCCTATCCTATAACGAGTTCGTTTTTAAGTGACCAAGCAAAGTAAAATTTGACCCTGTACCTGACCGAGCTGACAGGTTTAGTGCCACCCGTTAAGATCTAGTCTGTCAGACAATTTATCAACTACGTATGAGATTCGGCCTAACGCACGTTGGCGTATCTGTCTTTTTGGGCAGGAATTTGGCCACGATTCGTTATGTGGCCCCAGTGAGAAAGCACGAGACAAGGACCCCCTGTAAAAATGAGAATGGAGCAATAGGCTTTAGACGGGTGAAGCAACTGAAATTTACAGATAACTGTTCTCAGTAAGCAAAAAGGAAAATGCACATTCGCGACCTTGGTTTGTTTAACTAGGCCAACAACACACAAAAACTGAGAATGCAATCTGAAAGGCTGGAAGTTAGGAACTGTAAACTGATAAAAATGCTACCGACGGTAGAAAGTATTACCGGCAAAGACAAGGGATACTGGAAATTAGACCAAAGGTAGGCCGAGACAAGTTAGTTTCGCTAGCGGTCGGTGAACATTCATGAAGGAGTGTTGATACCGACGGTATTGGTTAGGTATTCCAGGTGAAACGATAACAGTTTGCAATTACCAATCATGCTAGGGGACAAAGTGTTAAGAAGACATTTTCATGTGTCTCTTGTGCGAGCATCTATTGAAGATAAAACTATGGTTGAAAATATTGATATTTTAACCCGTAATTCCTAATCCCAGTTCCTATCCCTAATCCGAATCTTAAACCCTAAGCCTAACTCAAGCCCCAAGCCAAGTCAAGCTTTAACCTCAAGGGCTAACATTAATCCTAACTTTTAAACCTAAGCCGTATCTCAAGTCGCACGTCGACGCCAATATTAACACTTCAGGAGGCGTGACGTGGACAGAATGATAGAGGATCAGTTAAAATAATCCCATTCAAATGACATGAGTAGTTATTTCACATAAAAATGGGTGGGATTATATATTCGATCGTCACCTATACTTTTTCGATTTACTCTAACTCGTTTATTCCTTACACTTCCCAGGGTATCATCAGAGACGAAAAGGAATTTGCGGCCTTGGATGATAAGGTTAAAAGTGCTCTCCGTGCCGCTCCTGGGCCCGCTGCCTACGGCTCTGATGCCGAAAGCACGTCTTACGACTCTTCTGCTCAACCTACATGTAATCATACCTTCGACTACACGGACCTGCGTTCCAGTCCTAACACCCCAGCTCTTAGGCGGCCGTTTTAGTTCCGCAGTCAGGAAAGCTGCATCATCGTCCGCCTCATTCTAGGTGACGTGGGAGAAGTGGAGTAGGGATCTCTTGCACATTGTTTGGCCAGTCATACAACTTTCTTTTTCTTGTGCGACTTTTACCTGTTTACTATCACGGCCATTTTTCATGTCCACCTTTTTTTCCAGTTTGCACAAAAACCTCACTAGCGTTATTTTCCATGAACGTTTGGCATATTGGTTGTCATTTTCAACACGATGCTTCTCTCTTTGAACACTCTTCGTCTGACTTCGCGATCAATTTGAAGTGCTCTAGGCCGGCTTTGCGACTGCCATTGCACCGCCGGTTTATGATAATCGCATCAGTCTTTTTCTTGAAGAAAATTGATACTGAGAAACTCAAGCAGTCTTTTTAACTTACGACCATTCGGCTGTTTGGTGTTTATTCGAGCAGGGCCAATTTCAAGCATCCAGGCTTTAATTATTATCTCCTTGTTGAGTCGCGGGTATAAGGAAGAAGTACAATGCGATATCGACATGAGCGGTAGCCCTATCGGTAGGGCACTAGGGTATACAGCTCCCCAGTTAGTGTGGGACTTGGCAAAGCATTGTGTTCTTTGTCTTTGTTTCGTCTCTTGACTTCCCCAACTGTATCCAGCCGCCACACGTACGCCAAAACCAGTGCTAACAACTATCAAGGTGGTACGGTATGATAAAACAAATAGTAAAGGATAATCGAAGTACAAACCTCAACAATGAATACACCAAGTCAAGAGCGAAGGGAGCGGCCAAATTGCCGGACTCTATAAAAGGGGACAACGCAAGTTCAGCAAAAGTAGTCTCGAAAGTAGTCTCAAACA